ACCAGACTACACAACGCAACCCAGAGGACAGAAATCTTCATACTCACCGCTGTGTAAACCTCAAATCATACATTCATTATCGTGTTCACGAGGGCTTTCAATTAGCCACTGTTCAGGTCGAAACACTCTTAAATTTAGAGCGCCTGTGTAGTTTTTCGTAACTCGTCATTGTTTTCATCTCACGTGCCCAACCACCAAGCTAGAGGACCATTTCTTGTTGGATCTCAATGGATGCTTATTCAATACATAAGCAGTTACCATCATAAGAACTACAGACAAAAACTATTTACGAGTCTTAATTAATTAAATGTCGAAGAATCATAAACCAGCTCAAGATTATTTAATAAGCAGGGCTCAATAAAGTCTCTCGTCTGCTTATCCATGATTAACCAAGGCTGAAGAGTGAAAAATGTCTTTGATATTTTTTGTTAATATCCTCTCTCGCTCTCTGCTTATCCACAGGCTGACGTGAAACAGTCAATTTGTTCCGAGCGTAGCTGTGAGTGCCCTTGTTAACAAGACATTGATACTGATGCATTTGAACGCCGGTAGCCTCATGTAAGAAAAAGGTTAGAGCGGCGAAGTACAATTCGTCTATTGTTCTTATTCTTCAGCGTGTCGCTTTGCTTTGTTTCGTTTAAATACCACGAGCTGCTTACAGAAGCGACATCTCAGCTACTCTGTCATTTATAACCACTTCTGTGAGTAGGAAATCATTTAAACAATTTAACTCTTTTCTTGCATTCATTGAGTTTTATATTATTAATTTAAAAATCAGGTTTATCATATTATTATTATTATTATTATTATCATATTTCTTCATTTATTTTGCTTTTTGTTTAATATTGTTTCTATTTTGGGTTTGCCTGTACTTGGCAGTTATATTTAATACTGTACATGTATAAGTTTAGTTAATCCGTTTGTGTAATATTATCCATTATTATTTCACTATTATTGTATATATTATCAGTGTTTGCCTGTTATTGGCTTCTTGCTGTTTGCAAACACGTAAATAAATTAATTGAATTAAATTGAATTGAATTGAATTGAATCATTATCCGGCTTGAGTTTGCTGATTACCTTGTCTTACAATGTGTATTTAATGTTACTGTGAATATTTAACATCTGCGTTATATTAACGCAAGTACGATATTTGTTTGCTTCGATGTTGGCTTATGACTGACTGTGCTTTAGAAGCCTAAAAGTTTTCACTTAAGACGTCAGACGGTAAAGTAACAACTTTGAAAAATACGTTTAAAATGGGTGACGACAAAACTGAAATAACGCAGTGCGTTGAATGGATGTTATATTTTTCAATATTATTCTCATATGAAAATTATGAGAAAGAAATTTGGGAGAAAGAATGGAAGGAGATAAAGGTAAGACGATGATAAAGCAAGGGGAGAAAAGGGGAAGGTAGGCTAAGGGATAAAGTAACGAGATAAATCATTCTACGTTGAATTTCAACGGACCATTTCCACAGTAACAAGACCACATCATCATAAATGGTTAGTAAGGAGTACTTTGAAAACATGTGACCGTGGTCAATTGCAATGTAATATCTCGTCTTTCGTCGGGTAAGAATGAAAAACCCCACAAAAAGTCAGAAAGTAATTTTGCCGAGATCAGAACTTGGATACAAGAGTGGACAGCCTTAGTGCTATGCAACCCTCTCGGTTCTCATTCGCATTTGATTTGTTACAGATGCACGACTCTTGACAATGTCAATTTTCGCTGCTGACAAAGACAATCAGCTGCATGATCTTCTGTGTTATGACGCCGTGTAGACCCGTAGGTACAAACCGACGTTTCAGATTTACATACGATCCCTACCTGCAGCCTTGAAGAGGGCGACAGTATAATCTACAGAACGTTGGTTTCGCCTTCGAGTCACAACCGAGAACATTATCATCTTCACCACTGTGAGAACTTCTAAATCTCAAATGGTATTATTATTATTATTTAGTGTTCTGTCTAACGACAGGTCCATATGAACAGGATCCTTCCATCCTTTTCTCGGACTGGGACCTGTTCATATACGTTCTTGGCAGATGATCCAGAAGTGGTTTGCCATTGCCTTCTTCTGTGTGTGAATGGAGTAATTGTTGGGATGCCACGGAGGAAAACTCCGTGTTGCCTAGACCACGGCCTCGCCCAACACAAGTTATAAATCCGGGCACCGCCGGGAAACGAAGTGGGTACCCGGGGTTAAAGCGCCAGGAGCTATGCAACTCCTGGTGACAAGTTTGTTTTGTTTACACCGTCTGAGAAGCGTCGAAGGAAAAACTAAAATGCGATGAGTCAGGAAGAGTGAAATGGTCATGAAGGGACTGACATCTTCACTGTCGGGGTAGTTTTGTTATTGGCTTGAAAACCAGGTTTTGATTTCCCTTTTCCATCGCACGGAGATCAGCCCTTATATCCACGCTCTCTCCTATCCAATTCCTGTCGAGATTTATTTATCAGAACGTATAGCAGCCAGATTATGAAATTTACCACTCACCTTCATTTAATTCCGATGTCTAGAACGCGAACCTTACCTGCACTCCCCTATATTCCTTTGTGGCGTGGGGCATGGTAATAGGGGTACAAAGCATTTTCAGAATTATCTGTATGATGCGTCACCTCTGAGAATTTAATTACTGTTTGTTTAGTTGAATGGACGAAACTTAAATTCGTTAATTAAATTATGTGTAGATCACGCATGTAAAAGTTTAATCACAAATCGTTAAGTATAAGGAAAGATGACGGTGAGACAAACTCTCCATTATATGTACAAAAATGTCATAAATAACAATAGTTGAAAAGGGTAAACATATTTCCAAAATTCTTTCATCGTGTCTGCAATTTGCCTTGACTTTACATTCATTGGAGACAAAAATTGGGCCTGCATTAACCTTTTTAAGAAGAAGTTCGTCCAATTAATATTTAATAATCAATCTGTGTCTCAAAGAAAATATTTAATTGGTTAATGCTGTTTATGGAAATAATTCCTATTTTCGATAAAATCCAAAAAAATACAAAAAGCAGCTGTACTAATATTTAAAAATCAGCTGATACGTATAGCTACCACTAGACTTCAAACGATTAATGCACAGCTATTGATATCATGGAGACACCATCTGAGATTCACAGGCCAGCACATGTTCACAATGCCTTGAATGTGTTCCTCAAAGATTTTTTCCCCCAAACTTCGTAATATTTAAAAGATGTGTACTTTTTTGTTTTTTATAAAAAGGGGGTATCGCCTATCTGGAAGATAAACTGCAGTAAAATATCACAAATATCAATCCACTGGCTGTTTTATTATTTTTTTTTATTTGTAGTGTTCTGTCTGACGACAGGTCCATATGAACAGGATCCTTCCATCCTTTTCTCGGACTGGGACCTGTTCATATACGTTCTTGGCAGATGATCCAGAAGTGGTTTGCCATTGCCTTCTTCTGGGTGTGAATGGAGTAATTGTTGGGATGCCACGGAGAAACCGGGGAAGCCCCCAGAGGAAAACTCCGTGTTGCCTACACCACGTCGGGTACCGCCGGGAATCGAACCCGAGACCCCAGGATTACAAGGCCAGCCTTCTATCCGCTATGCTCTAACAATTATGCATTACGACTCAAACAAGAAACCCATTAAGTTTACTTTAAGCTTTAAGATGAAAATAACATTACTGAACTCCTTCATTGACATTGAGTTAGAATCACGAATGCCGAAATGTGATCAAAGGCCACCGAGTAACTTCGGAAATGCAGACATTCATTATGCACCTTGTTCGTGGAACTCAAGAAACATTTGCTGAAGGTCGCATAGCAACGGGCTACATCTTTAAGATCCAGTGTCTGTAGGTTAGAAAGTAAAATTCTTTTTGTTCCTATTCCAAACTAGGTCACATTTTGCTTCAGACTTCACAGAGTGACTCGGAATTTCCAGAGAAAGCTTTCTACTTTAAGCGTATATGTCTGTGTGCTGTCAAACCACTCTGTTACTCTCTTTGCAAGTACCGGCACAGTGAAAGGATTGTGTATTCTTATGTATTCAGATATATAGCTGTAACGATTAATGGATAAGAATGCGTAATTCAGTTAAGACAAGTTCTAAATGCGTTCTCCATTATTTTAATATTATCTCATTGATCTTGATGTTAACTTACTGTAGACACAAATCTGTTACGCTTAGTTTATTTTTATTGTTCTGAAAAAAGTGATGATTATGTAAACCCTGCAGATATTTCGCGTTGAAAGACTAAACAAATATTTCCTGAACGTATTCTCCTTATTTCACCACTGTTACCAAATCAAGTAAAACGGGCATGTAGCACGCATTAGGGATAGCAAAATGTATAAATTTTAGTCAAAAACCTGGAGGGAAGAAACCGATTCGGAGACCTAAGAGTAGATGGGAGTATATATTTAAAAATGAACTTTAAAAGCGAGATGTCAGGATGTCGATTACATTCAAATGACTCAGTGTACGGTCCACTACAAAAGGGTGGGGGGGTCTATTTGATCACGGTAAGTAATAAATCTTTGGCTTCCATAAAGCCCAGGTTGTCAGCTTCTCGGTGACTCGATGTGGGATGCACACAGAAGTCTAGGTTGTCTGCGGAGTGTAATCCCGATGAAGGTCAACATTTGTTATCAATATATAGATAAAGTTAGGATAATTAACTGTTATATTTTACGAATTTCTATAAAATGAATAGAAGTTTCTAACAAGATTGCCATAACGAAAACTTGAAATCTAAAAAAAATTTGGTCGGGCTGAATATGTATAGTAAATTCGGACCAAGTGACAAGGTCGGATGCAGGTGGTAATGGAAATGAAAGGAGAGCATTCGCGTAGTGTAGATTCCTGAATACACTTAACAAGTAGTATCTTAAATGGAAAAGATTTTGTGAAAGATTCGAGAAGGAACGGAAGTTAGTGCTGGAAATATAGGCATGTATACAAGGATGGAACCTACAGAGCTGCTTTCCAGTTAAATAATGAAAGTCATTTCATACCAATTATGTATAATTTTTATTCAAACGTAAAAAATAGTCATTTCACAGAAATGGCATACATTTTAATAATAATAATAATAATAATAATAGGCCTAATAATAATAATAATAATAATAATATACACACTAAATTCAGTGTCTCTGCTTATATAGGCCTAACTGTTTCTCATGTCCGTGGCAGTGATGATTCACAAAAGAGTTAGGCTTCAACACAAGTAATCTATCTTTAATACATGAACGAGTTGCATACTGTGTTAACTGCTTCCTAAAATCGTCCTCTTGTGAACCGATTTTATTTTAAAGTCACGTTCTGCAACAGGTGCTCTTGAGTTTAACTTCACATCATTTGGTACAATCGTACACGAAAGTCTTTAAAATTTAAGCTTATGAAATCGCCCTGTGCCACGAAGGCTTGTGAGCTCAATGTCCAGGGTTTTTTTTAAACCGGCACTAGATGGGGCTGACCGCTTCATCCCCTAGAGACGGGCCTGGCTTGATGAATCCAAAAGTTGGTCTGGATGTTGTGATGAAAATAAAAATCCTGCATCTTCCTGGAATCGAACTTCGGTCGAGCAGTACGTAGCCAGTCACTGACTAAACTTCCGCGGTTCACAAAAAAAAAACGAAAGTATTTCTTTTGACAAACAATTCTAGTAGATCTACATTTAAATAAAAGGCAGACATCTATACGTACATTGGTACATGAACTGAAAATTTAAATACGTTGTGATCAAAATATTTCCTTAAGTAAGATAAAATAAATCAAAACCAAATGCAGCTAAGCCATACATCATTACGCACCTCTAAAAGTAACCCCACTTAATTATTAAAGACGTTATGACAACTGCTTCAGTAAATCTTTTTAACATACAGGTTGTTCAAATTTCTATATGTAGAGTTAGAACTGCGGTTCTATAGAGATATTTTGAACACCCTGTATATGAAAACACATTTCAAGTATCTACACTAATTAAAATGAAGAACACCAATTATTTCGTGACTGAGCAACGTGTTAACGCTATTCCATTTTTCTCACTCGGAGAAGGAGGTAATATATATATTCTAAGACTGAATGAAGCCATGTTGTTTCAGTACTGCTGGCAATATTTAAAATGTTAAAACACTTCAACCGCTCAGCATAAATTGTCAACGTATGTAAAAAGTGTTTTGCATTTACATATGTTCAGATTAAATGTACTGCTTCAGACAAAGTCTGTTAAACACAACAGACAGAAAAGTTATTTTAGCAGTTTTTGTCTACTGGTGTTACAATTTCATTGTTTGTTGTTGACGATTAACTAAAACTTATAGCGATTCTGTTGTGTAATATTTTACGTTAAGACTTCATCTTATCACAAGACAAACTTATCACAACAGAGTGGTAAACAAACGTGATATACTCAGAGCAACATTAAATCTGTTGCTATGATACTAGCAATAAGACTGAGAGTTGGCATATTTTTAACCTTTTAAGAACTGGAAATTTTTGTAATATTTCATTATTACAGCCATGTTATCAAGATTGGATAACAGAATAAAACCATTCTTTCATTACTATGCTTTTCGTAATATGAGCATATATTTTCATAATTGAACTATATCCGTATCCGACAGATTAGTTCTTAAAAGGTTAAGAGTACATTTATATGTATTTCTTTGTATATATAGTACATTTCTGGTAAATATAAAAGACGTGCTAATTTAAAATAGACCTAATAGTAGACTACCGTTGCTATGGGCAACAAACAGATCACATACATTGCACGAAAATAATTTCCCAAAAAATTATCATTCACATCGAAATAGTTTTACATAATATGTTGTACTAAAAGAGTTTATAACTTTCAGAAGAGGCGAATTTGATTTGTCTTATATAATTTATGCACATCAGAGTAGATTCTTGAACAGTACATGGTTCGCACATGTATGAGTACTTATTACAACAAACAAACCAATAATTTGACAACGTGGCGAGGACAGCGGCCAAACCAGAAGTATCTGATCCAACACACTCTCTCTAGTTACCAAGCAACCACAACTCTTGAATATGAAAGGTCAACGCCCGTTCAAGAAACTCAAGTCTCGTAATGCGGAGATTAAATAAGGCTTAACACATTAGCAAACGTTCATAAATAAAGATACAAATTTTAAGTAAATCTCTGTTTACGTAATTGTAACGACTTCTCAATTGGATTTTGATCTCAGTATCCAAATGTCAAACAAACCACAGATAAACTTTACGTATCATTTGCAGAGAGCGATCTTTTAACCCTTTCCATGTCAAATGTCACCAGTGATTTTCTGTGATGGCTTCGCGATACCAATTTATTTTGGGTTGCATTATCTACTTTGACGACTGTAAAATGTCAGAAAATCTCACTTCCTAGACAATATGTACGTACCCACACGGAAGTTTTCTGATAATTTTAAAATACATTTACGTTTAATGTTTTTTTTATTTTATTTTGAGTATAAAAGAGAACATAACATACGAAAGGTTACTTTAACTTGGCATATTTTGTGCTTACGTAATAACGTACATGCCATTTTTATTGGTAAATAATCATTTTTAATTGCAGAATTTGTTTGAACAATATTTCAGGCAGAAATGACACGTGTTACTAGACTCAATATCGTTCACATACGCCATGGAAAGGGTTAAACTCGAAAGTGTATGTCGTACTATATTAAAATGGTAACACGATTATTAAAGAAACACCAGTGTCGAACAGATGTTTAAATACCACGTGGAACGTAGAACAAACTGTTCTGGCACGTCATAATATTACATTATAAATAATAAATATCTTCTGAAGAGGCTTACCGAAAGCCGAGACCACGTGGTATCACAACCGCTGGCAGTCTTCTTGTGTCTCGACCAGAAACAGCTGATCGCTTCGTCTCCTCCCCGCCTGCCTTCGCTGCGGCTTTGATCAGGAACACGCGTGCCTCCACATCCCTTTTTCTTCTTTTTCTTCTTCCTTTGTATGTCCTGTGTCTTTTTATTCTTGATTTTCATCATCTTCCGGGAAAAAAAAATGGTTCTTCCCCCTCAGTTCGAAATGTCACGTGATGCAATATGGTAACATGTCTTCATCGCAGCTTCTTCGTCTTGATGGTCAGCATTGCCTCGTCTCAGTAGAGACCAGTCGGGTCCAGCTGTTTAGGATTCATGGTTACTGTCGCGACACTTGAAGTCAAATGAAAATGTTTGAAATAATCTTCCGCTGTTGGTAACTGAGAAGACCTCAAGGAACTAGTACAAGCCAGTAGGATCTAGCGTTTTGGGACCCATTTTTGAAGAATGTTCACAGAGGTATTTGGCAGTGTCAATGTGTACCTGAGTAGGTAACTGATTCTCGCAGTTCAGGCTTCGTCTTCCCTCGTCACACTCAACGACCTCACTCACGTCAGCTAGCAGCGCGTAAGCCTGAAACACCTCTCCGTTCGAGGACCTCACCGCGACTTGCAACCTGCCTCGCCTGAGCCCTGAGTTTCAATACGACTAGCGGAGCGCAGACACGGTCGTGAGGTAGGGGTTTATATGGAGAAGGGGAACATAGGAGGGGTAAGACCCCCGGAAGTTTAAAATCTTGCGGTGGTCCTGTCTGTCTCCTCTGAACGACCTGGAAACATTCGTTCGGAATAATATAAGTAGTGGGAAGATATCTATCCCCCCCTTCGTTACGACAGCAGCGAAAGGAATATGAATGTCATTTTATATTAACGGCATGTCACAGTTTGTGAGGGAATGTAATTATCCCTTTCAGGAAAAACTTATTCAGGATGTAACTTAGTCCGTTCTTGTACAGTGTTCACGAACATAAGGTCTACAGGTACAACATGGACAACATTAATGTACAACAAAGTTTTCTTGTTTCATTTCTGATAGTAAGTAACAGAAGACTATTAAATATGCATAATGAGCTTAATTATTTATAACTTATATTAGAAAAATACCTTCATTAAGTGACAATAACCACCATAAATGATTTGGTTAGGCTACGTGTTCCATCACGATTTCTTTATACAATTTTGTTTGTTATTAGATTAGTTAATAATTAATTAATAATTATGAGTCATTAAATGGATCCAGTTTTACATATATATTATATTATTATATTACCAATTATAAAGTTATTTTCGTGGCGAGTGCCTACTTACAACTGATGTTAAAATTTATGATCAATTGAATTGTGAATGTGAGCTGTTTTAATGTTTTATTACGTATTTACTTCTGTGTTCTCCTTGCCATCCATGGTTCGAGTACCTTTTATTTGCTAAACGCTGTTTGTCAACGATCTGTAACATTGATCATGGGAGTACGTCCTTGGTTATGCCTGTCGTAATGGCACTGTATTATCTGTAATTTACTAAATTTTATAAACAATATTTCATCTTAGAACAGACAGTGTCCGGGTCTACACACTGACCATGACCTGAAGAGGCTGTTTAAACATTTCCAGATGCCGTCAAGGCTGTCTGGACATATGACATTTAGCAGTTGTTAAATAAGCAACATACACGATACTACAAATGGAAGGAATATGTCAACGTCTACAGTGCGTCAGATCTTATTTAAAAATGGCAGCTTAACGGTGACAACAGGTAGGTAGACAGAATAAAACTTTGAAATGTTAGATTTTTGCATTCCGTAACCTCCTCTCCAGTCTGAACTAAAAATCCTTTCTGGGGGGCAAAGCTCAAAATTTATCGATCTCAGTATCGTGCCTAGGTTTAGAACGCGCCTTAAAGGAGTGGTTTAGCACAGAGTAATCTTAACTTTTTAACCTTCTGTAACAGAAAAACGCAAGGCGTGCTGTCGCAACAGGTAACATCGCCTTCCTCGAGTATTGCATAATGTTTTTGTTCAGTCAAACAAGGAGAAAGTCGCTCATGCGTACCAGTAAAACCCACATGACAACGAGAACAGCTGATCGCGAATCTTCGTTACTTTAGGAGGGGAGTCGCGTGGGATTGGTCGAACCGGAGACCAAGTGGGCGGAGTTAAGTACCCTGGGTCAAGATGCCCACTGACCAAAGTAGGCCGCTTTGTGATGACGGGTCACGTCGCTTCCCTGGGGTGGGACGTTTCGTGACTCCTGGGACAGTAATTTGCTTTTGGGCAAACCTTGACTTGCGAAGGGTAAAATTCCTATTCTGAAGAGACCTACATTTCCGGATTTTATCAAAAGACTTTCAAATTCGTATTTACTTTTCAACCCACGCTTTTACACAAGTTTATATATCTTGCACGCACGCATCATAGTATACGCACACCAATTAAAAATGTCCAATATACTGATTTTAAATTTCATAAAAATTAATAAAATCTTCTCGAACAATCAGCCGCACGCCGCGAAAGTATCAAATCCTATATTTAAAAAATTGTTAGCAGATTGTCTAGAACAGTGGTATTCAACCTGGGGTACGCGTACCCCGGGAGTACGCGAAAACATCTTAGGAGGTACGTGAAATTTAAAAAAAATATATTATTTTATGATAAACACTGAATAATGAGTAATGTAATTTATTTAATTTATTTTAGATGTAGATTATATACTATGTATAACTTGAATTATACACCAACAACTTTGGGGGTATACAAAGTTGAAGAGAAATTATATCTGGGGGTACGCTAACAAAAAAAGTTGAATACCACTGAGATAGAACATTGACTATTAGACCGTAAATCCTTCTTGAGAAACTGATAGTCCGTTTCGCTATTCAAAAATGTTCCTGCCTTTTATGGAACCCGAAAGTTTATTACCATCTTCACAAGAGCCCTTGGTCTCCGTCCTGAACTAGATTACTAAAATCCACAATCGCTAAACCCATTTCCACAAGATAGATCTTCCGAGTGATCGTTTTCCATTACGCTTTCCAAACAAAACGCGTACCTATACATTAATCTCTTGATACATACTACATGCCTAGTCCATCACATCCTTCTTGATTCCTATTATAACCAAACTTGTAATAGATATGCATATATTTTGACGTTTAAACCATTCAAACCACAAATCTTATCTAAATAATATTCCTTAAAGAACACAGACGTGTCCATTACAGAAATTGGTTTGTTAATGTGTAAGAAAACAATAGAATTTTATTCTGAAATCATATGAAGCCCGTACATTGGCTATATTCTGTGAGCGAAACGCACAGTTATTCAATAATATCTCTAGGAACTCCATTGCAACGACCAGCTTCTTAATGCTGTTTAAATATTGAAATAATTCTTGTTTTCTGCGAGAATCATATGAATTGCGTAAGGACTGAACAGAATTCAGAGTTACTGATTGTTAAGTAAGGTAACATACATAGTTACCACTGGAATTCAAAGGATTAAAATAGGTTGTACATGTAGGTAGTCCATCGTTGTGATTTAAGGAATAAATTGGATTGTCTAAGGTAATCATTACGATGTAATATTTTTTGTTTACATAGGGTTATTAAAAACTGATGACAGAAATTTTATGCCGAAATATATCTGTAAGAGAGTTTTTTGTGTGAAAGTATGGATGTAAAATAAATAGAAATTTGAAAATGTGTAGAATTCGTTTCTTAAAACACTCCTTATCTGCACGCTAACTTCACCGCTTCGTTGTTAATCTTCTTTCAAAAACAATAATTTGCTGACAGAGAGGCAGAATTATTTATTAAATTAGAATAAGTCAGTAGCATGAAAATTTAAGTTCCAGAGCCTGTATTTTAATTTTAAGTGCTTTACGTGCATTTGTAAAGAGAATGATTCTGTTCTTCATCAGATATTATTAGAATCAAAACAGTTGTGGAATTGAAATGGGCGAGACATGTAGCACACATGGAGATGCTCACAGACACGGATAGTCTAAATATCGAAAGGTAATAGACCACTTGCGAAACCTAGGAGTAGATAGAATAATACTAAAATGTATCTTAAATACAAAACATAGAATGGATTCATCTGGTTCGGGATAGGTTCCGTAAATGACGGGGAATTTCTTGTTCACCTTTGGTACTATCAGCTTTTCAACTAATGTTCTGTAACAGCTCTAAAGAAATTCAAGATTAATAATTTGTTTCTCTATGTCTGTCTGTTCGTATGTTGTTACTTGCTAAATTAGTGACACAAGGCCTGCTCTAAAAAAAAAATTATTTTAGTTTAGTTAGCATCATTTTAAGTGCCTAAATGAACGGTAAGCAAGCCTAACGGTTATACCGCCAAGACATAATTACCAGCTAAGAAAATTACCACATGTGAGTTTTCGTACTTGCATGTGTGTGCCTGATAGCCCATTTCAAAAGTGCGGTCAAAGCTCCATTCTAAATATGGAACTGTGTTACGTACTTCTAAATTAGCACTTGTTGGTAGCTATAATTATTTTTAGTTCGTAAACACTAACAGCTTGCAAGCAAACAGGAATTAGATTTCAAATCTGTGCCCGCTGTCCAAGAATGGCTGTTTCGATAATGCATGCAGACTGCAATCTTGTTGAGATGTAATCTAAGCATAGTCTAACAATAAACATAACGTTCCACCGTTACTTTCAGTTATCTGTAGTTCAATAACGACTTTGACGTCCTTTAAAAGTCATATATTGAGTCAATGTTAAATTTAACAAGACAGGGAATAATTACTCCAGTGTTTTTTTTTTTTATTTTTACACACGAATGCTGAGATAGTACATTGAAATATCAAGACGGTCTCCTTCCAAATGCTTACAGCTCACAATCTTGATCATCTCGCTATTTTACTCAGAGAGCGTTTAGGGTGAGACAGAGCTCCAGCTATCTTAACCCCGGTAATGGATACAGGCGAATCGTATTCTTCTTATGATACCCCCTTCGAAAAGGCCCACAATCTCTTCCTATTGGATAGGAATGTAGTATTTCCAGAACGGACTACAGATCCGGCTTGTAGCAGGAATTTAAACGTGGTTGTCCATGAAGTCGCTAGTCAAACGTGGTGAGGAAAAAGAATAACAACCCCTGACGGAAATCGAACCCCTGTTGTCCAAATCGTCGGCTGTACCTACTGGCAAAAAGTCTCAACGCCTAAACCAGGAAATGAATCAGGCCTGTTGAGCCTATAATCATTCACATCACTGACAGAGTAGATTTCAGGTTATCACAGCAGCGAGTGTGAAGATGGATTAAATTTAAATGTAGTAGATAACATTTCAGTTCTAGGAGAATTGTTCTTCTTGTTATTAACATAAATACACTGTCGAAATGAAGGTCTATTGACCATTTGCTATTTTTTATAGCTTTCGTATCAGTCAGCACAATGTTAGCTTCCAAAATGCAATCGATCAACTAAAATGAATAGACACCGTCTGGGTGAAACGATATATCGATCATCACACCAGTCTGAAGCCGGTTTCGCTATTAGGATACAAAATCATAATAAGTTATTATTAGAACACTACTCGTTTGCAGTGCTGTTATGTTTAATACAGAACGGAAATAGCAGTGAACGCCGGAAGCTGCCGTGTTCAAGTCGGCATTATATTAAACTGTCTATTAGAGTAAGTTAAAATTCCGTTATAAGTGCTGATGTTTGTGCATATTTTGCTATATATTGTCCTCAAGTTCGTGGTTTTGGTAAATGCTTTGCCACACAGGCCTGAACCTGTTATTATCATTGACATAATCTAGAATCTGAAAACCCATAATCTAACTCTGGTAACAGAGAGTTCAATGCAGCTGATATCAAAGACTGCCTCAATAGCTAATTACATTCGGCTCCTTTTATCTTAATGTATTTTTTCAGACTCCTATCCACCTATCTGATAGTAAAAAGAGCTCCTTCCTTAAAAGTTCCCAACAAAAATATCTGTCATTTCTTCGACTCCCTTCTTTGGTTAATCTGCCTTACTTCATCCTACTCTCCCCTTCCATCCGCCCACATCTTACTCCAGAGTTATCCCACTGTAAAAAAAAACAACTCAGTAGTATTAAGAGAATGCACTCGGTCACACCTCTATTGATTATGTCGCGAGCTGATAGATAAATTAAAGAAATGCAAATAAACTCAGATGAGTCATTAAAAAACAAATTTCCATCCTCACAGCCACTAAGACCCAACTCCAAAATAAATTAGCAAAAAGGTATATAAAGTGAAGCGAAGTTTAACTCTCAAAAGTGTTTGGACAATAGTCCAAAATAGGTCTATTTGAGTTACACATGAATTCAGGAGAAAAATCCTTTTGTACTAATTTCATTACATTGAGATTTAAGTCTCGGAGACGCTGAGGTTGAAATTTTGTTTTTAATGTCTCCTCAGTGACTGCCTCTCTGTCATCTACCTGCTCACCACGTCCTGACATGAACAGGAGTCAGGGTTGTGGGGCCTTTTAATTAAAAGCAGGAAACACATGAACTGAATGCATGATGGAGGGGTTCGTTTCCGTCCATCGGTATGTTAGGCTCTAGGCCTATGTTTTTGGTGTTAATAAAACTTAGTATAAAGAGTCCTCGAGTGCATGACGTCATAGGGATAGTAATTCCAGGCATTCAATAGTAAACACATGTACTGGTACCCAAAAAACTTTTCCATAAACATCGCAATGTTCTTTTATTCCTCCGGGGGCTTCCCTGGATTCTCCGTGGCATCCCAACAATTACTCAATTCACACACAGAAGAAGGCAATGGCAAACCACTTCTGGATCATCTGCCAAGAACGTATATGAACAGGTCCCAGTCCGAGAAAAGGATGAAAGGATCCTGTTCATATGGACCTGTTGTCAGACAGAACACTTAAAAAAAAAAACTACGTATGAGAAAGCAAAAGTTAATTAAAGATCATGTTTTTAATATTTTAAAAAAAGGTCACGAACCGGAGTGTATTAATTCATAGACCTTAGCCCTGAAAAAAATGTAATCAATACATAAAATAGTCTAAACATGTGGATGGACGTAGAGATGCTACCTTCTTAGTATCCACTCATTCTAATCCAGCATGTTCTAAGAACACAAAAATTAATGGTAAAACCTGGGCTGACTCATCAGCGTAGCTGAAGCTCATTCATTCATCACACTTCATTCACTTGTGTCTAGTGATGCTGTACAGGATTTCACAGATATTTCTGATATCTGATTTTTCTTCGCCACAGAGTATGGCGTAAGGGTGAAGCCTGTAAGTAAGGAGGAGAAGATTTTAGCTATGTTTCAGAAAGCAAAACTCAAGTTTCCTACGTGTGATTTTTCACAAAATTATTAAAAATGAAAGCTTAATGAGTACGTTTTGCCTATCTGTCTCTCAGTAAGCCTACGTTTTATTTTATTATTACATAACGAATTTGGTAAAACAGAAAGTCTATGAAAAATGAAAGATGGATAAACAATAGATCCTACTTCATATAAACATTTATATGCGCCAGTCAAATTCAGTACTATTAAAATATTAACAGTGACGATAGACAGGTATGTCTTTACGTTAAAACTTCATTAAAATACCTAAGATTTCTAAACCTTAATCAGTTATTTCAGTCCAGCTTGTAGTCTGCCTAAAAGACGAAGACTTCCAATCATAGCGATGTTCAATAATTGTGTAGTGGGACTGGAGTGAATCTAAGAGATGTGTCCAGGCTGAAAACGTATTTTTCTCACTTATTATTTTACACCATCTGATAGAAAATAAATCTATTTGGAGCTAAAAAATTTAAAAAATTAAGTTCAACGTCGTAAGAAAATTACCCTCCTAAAGAACAACAGTTTTAAAATTAAATTATTTGGTTATTCCGTCAAATCACAATGTATTTAAAATAAGATAATTAAAATAATTAAAATATCATTCTGTGTTCCATATCGAATAATCGATTTACAATTGGAACACAGAATGATATTTTAATTATCTTATTTTAAATACATTTTGATTTGACGGAATAACCAAATAATTTAATTTTAATTTAATAAATCACAATATGACGCAACTACACTATTTTAACAACAGTTTTATCGGATGAAGATTAGCTGAAGTCTAATTAAAGAAAGGACCAACTGTACACAAAACCTAATTTGTAACGTATGTGTTTAATCACATTCTGAGAAAATGGAAATAACAAATTAAACTCACAAACTTAAAAAAAAAAAATTTCACGTCCACAAGGTTACCAACTTAACCTTAACATTTTAACATTTGACTTAACTTGATTTGGTGGTTACCGCTTCAAGTACAATGTCGTGGCAGGTTATAGTGTTCACATGGCCAGCCCTGAATCTGACTGAGACGATAAGAATTTGTTAATATTGTGGCACACCTAATTTGGTACAAGTACTGTCCCCATCCTTTCGTGGATGGGTCCTCCCTCGACTGTCAATTGTCCAGTTCCACTCACGGTTTTTGCGTTGCTCCTGTTAACAGGTCTCAGTTCTTGAAGTCTGCCTTTCTGGGAACCCTCATCCGCTGACAAGGACCAGTGACGTCACGTGTGAGTCTTCAACTTACTTATTTCATTGCAAACACAAGCTAATATGTAGACGAGATCACAAGAACACATACAGAGTCCCACTTGAATTGTTAATTGTAGTTCATCATTTCATTTACAGAGATCCAGCACACAGATCAAAAAATTGGTCACATCACATAAAACCTTGTTAAGCACTTTCTTTCTCTTCATTACCTGGGGTTTTAGAGACGCGTGGATTGAAAATAGCGCAATAGACCCTTGGCTGCCAGCCTGTCTTTCAACGCCACACTGCTCCAGTTTAATTAATAATACTGGAACGAAGCAAAGGGTAAATTAGGGAACCATTTCCCTGAAGATTTAAACAGGGAATCAAATTCCTCTCATTTTATTTTTTAAACCGTCTTACTCAGTTTTAAATTGTACTGCTCTGAAACAATTCGTGAACTAATTCTTTAATGACTCGCGTCTAAAATTCTACTTAATAAATGTAACTTAATTTAAAATTAAACTTTATATTGCGTGCTTAAAATTTTTTAGAAACTTTCCCGTCAACAGTCATTTAATATCAACACAACACTTTTTCAAACTGTACGAACAGTTCAGGAAAAGGAGTCACTCGAATTATTTGTCTTCTCAACCTTAAAACTGACCGAGTAGTGAGAGTGGGCCTGATTCCTACTGTACGTACCTGGTACCCCTGATTCACTATGACTGTTTCCTTCGCTACATCTCCTTTCTATTCGTTGTTTATGTCAAGCTCTCGGATTCAAAACAGGTATCCTCCTAGAAGCCAGTCGAATGCCTCAGTTCTAGCAAGAGTATAAATTAACAATCTTCTACAATTGCACTTCAATTAATAAATTTAATATATTAAATATATTTATTTTGTACAGTCTATACACAAACGTTTGACGCATATAAGATATAAATTTAATAAATTTAAATCTCACGTATTTTACATTCTGAAACAAAACTCCAGACCAAAGAGTCTGGAAGGTTAAATAGTATTTTTCGCTCACTTTGCCAGTGTGCTCTGCCCCACGCTGAAAGCGACAAGGAACACATCAGACTACATTCTTCATGCAAATGTGAACTATTATAAAATATGTCAATTTTATCTTTAAAAAGAACTGAATACATTTCATCGTATAAATCAATTTGGAACGTTCTCGTTAATCGTGTTAGCCCGGCTAACACTTTGAAAACCCAAAAACAAGAATTTAAACACTTCGCCCCTAAACACAACTAAGTCTTCAATAATTTCTCACCATTAAAATTTCGTAGCTACAGCATGGAAACAATATTATATGTGATAAATAAATTTTTGGGAGAATATCGGTAATTATACACATAACTAATGTATAAACTTCGATATAAATATATTTATAGATGATGCAATCAATAAATACGTAATATTCAAGATGTACGTATTAAACTATGTAAACAGTCATACAACTTATTAAAATAAGAGGTGACGAATTCAGGAAAGGAAAACCTATGTAATATTTAAAGTAGTAAGATTACACATGATATGAAAGAAAATATTTGCCTCGTTATAAAATGTGCCGGGTTCTCTAACACAGTCAAAAATTCGCATCAAATTACACTTAGCATTTTAATAAATTAATTATTTTTGTGATTTTACTAATTCAGAAAAATTTGTTCCAGCTTGCATCATAATGTCAGGTGATTTATTATTACAGATTTTATATAATGCACCCCTTCTTGATTTAACGCGATTCATATTTCGTTTATTACTTACATTACATTACCCAGATGGGTTACAGCACTACCGTCAGCAGTAACATTTATTTATTAAAATATATCGTATATATTTTTCATATATTTCGGGTTTTGATAATCCAGGGACTGACTATACGAATTGGATTTGAAGATTTATGCTTGACCAAATTTTAAAAATGCTTGTTTCTGTAGTTAACATTGCTATTTCACTGTGATGTCCAAATCCAATGTTCTGAGACGAAATGTTTAAGAGAATTAAACATTTCTAAAGATATTTCCACTGACATTTCATCTGTTCCACGGTGGAAGGGCCGTTATCATGTCGAATAATTAGCTACGGTATTAACTTAATCTTTAGTCAGTTACGTGGTTGCTTACTTAGTTTAGATTGTGAACTTCTAGAGAACGACACCACGAATACTTGTACATTATTAAAATCTTCTGCTCTGAAGATGAGGACAGCATGGTCCTCCAAAACGTCGGTGACATCTTACGAGTGTATAAAGTGAGATAGTTATTTAGTTTCTTGGTTACTAAGTTTGTTGTCTGTTTTAGTTTATTAAGTGGTTGGTTTGTAAGCTCGTTACCGTCCTCCGTACCAAGAACATAGCTACAGCTAATGTAGGCCGGGTCATTGCCCCCTACACGTGTATAGGGCAAGAGGAAACCAGGCACTCCGGGGAAACAGACAGCACCTACGTTCAGGAGCCCCGTGTTATCACGTTCACTGTCTGTCTCATCAAATGTGCTCCCTTTTTCACGTACCTGATTATACCAGGGCCTTACAGATGTCACAGTTTGCTTCGAGACCGCTGTTCATATTGTCTGTGATTGTAATGCTCTGTCCGGAGGTAAATTCCTTTCATTCATCCTCCTTTATTCCATTCTCTAACTTCTGTTCTTTCAACATTTCTCTCTTTCCAGAATCTCCAGCTATGTTTCACTTAAACATTAAATGGCAGTTCGGTTCGTAAGTTAACTTAAATCGCAGCATCAACTGTGACCTGTCTCAGAAATTAATCTCCAAAATATTCATGACTCCAATTGCAATAAATTTTAATAAATTTGTGAGGATCCATATTTTTCTGTTGTCTCCTTTAGACGTTAAGAAACTGCCTGTAATATAACAACTTATTACTGACTATTTAACTATAATCTGATTTAATTGTAATTTTGAAAGATTCTATCACACCATATGTGACAAGAAACATCAGTCAGGATAATTTAAAACTAAACCAGGAAACAAGGAGTACTTCCGGAACAAAAAGCTAGATCCTACATTTTTATCGACGTGAAAATGAGACGTCAAACTTGTTATGAATTTAGTTGTTGTCTGATGATGAAAAGTACGATTATGCCTATTAGAAGAGGCACTAATGAATGGGGAAGGTGAGATTATACCCTCCAGCGAGAGATTACTTGAGTACGCGTTCCTTTTAAGTAATATCGATACGCTAACACCTTAGATATTTCTTTTATGGTTTCAGGCTGAAACGCAAATTGCTGGAGCAGAGATTCTCAGAGGATCTTCGTGCCAAACAAATCTGTAAGTTTAAATGTTACGATACATGAAACACGTTAAATACATAATCTAATGCTAATCATTTACATCGAAGTGTTTAGTCTAACTTAACACAATCAAAAATATAACTGTGTCCTTCAAATATTAATGCTTCGAATACTTCCGGCCTTCTTCAGAAAATTCACGTTATATTTTTATGTTGTTAAAATATTGCACATAAGATTTTCATAATAAAATTAAAGGCATGCTTAGAAACTTTGATTTATCTTTTACAATAAAACTTTTTAACAATTTAAATTCTGTATCTATATACAGTCACTTTTAACTCGAATTCGACACTGTTCCTAGCTCCTTTGAGCTACTAATTTACTTCAGCATTTCACTGAAATCACTTTTTAAATCATGTCTCAGCTGCCACATCGACACTTCACCAATCGAATACAACAGAAATCTAAATGCAAAAGTCCCTCTTCACCTGAAATATCCTTTCTTATTTTCCTTATTATAGAATTGTTAATTTAATTTTAATGTTAATATGTTATATTTGTATGAGATGGTAAAGTTGCGTCATATTGTGATATAATAAATATATATTATTTAAATCTTGTCCGTCTTATCACAATAAATTCTTATTAAATATTATATATTAAAATATTACGTTAATTAACATTTAAAATATTTAAATATTAAATGATGTTCTTTATCGAAATATTCGTTTTACATTAGATTACATTGATGGTCTAATGTAAATCGAATATTTCGATAAAGAACATCATTTAATATTTTAAATATTTTAAATGTTAATGAATGTAATATTTTAATATATAATATTTAATAAGAATTTATTGTAATTAGACGGAGAAGATTTAAATAATATATATTTATATTTGTATGTTGTATTTTTATTACAGCCCTGGTCCCTGCTTTCTGTACATTTTTAAATTTATATGTCATAAATTCAATAACAAATTTGGCACTGAAAATGAAATCCATTAAAACGAAAAAGGAACTTTATGGAAAAGAGAAAATGTGGGTATTCCATAAGATCGAATGAAACGCTGGATAAAGGGTATTAGGCCTATTAGGTTTAAGCCCTTTTTTAAGCCTCTAAAATGGTTACAGAGGCAGTCTTTAAATTTCATAATAACAACTTCCGTAAAATGTTTTGGAAATGGGTAGTACATTTAACCTAGTGATGCTTGGGGTGAATGACCGTTCAAAGCTTGGGTGCCATTGGTCTCAATATGACAGATCCTCTACTCTGACCATTCTGAGACGGAAGATACTTAAATTGTGCTTATCTGTACCAGTAGCTAACGTGTACAATAGTATGGATTCAGATGGAAGATTAATATGAACTGATTTCATCATCAATTATTTTCAGATTAGAAAACTAAAATAAGCAAAAATAATACCTGCAAGATTAAGCAGAGAAAAACGTTGTAAAACTTTAATATTTGTTACTTAACGTTTACCAAAATGTAATTAATAGAATTGGAAACATTATAAAAATGACGAGCGACAAGACATAGAATGAAAAGTCGTATTTAGTTTTAAGAAAATATCACATTTGCTTGAGGCAAAACTACAGAATGTCTCATTCAGGTTTGCCTCTGACTCTGACAGTCAAGATTCGAAAAATACAAACCACCGCTTCACCAACTGGCTTAGACTGAAGAAAACATTTAATAAACTTAAATTAGCCCCTGTTGAATCTCCCCACGACGAATTCGCGTCAGAAAATGAATGAAAAACTTCAAACGCATTCCTCATGTCGGTACCCGTTGGTTTCTAAATTTATTTAATATCTGAGCAACTGTCAAGTCTGATTTAAGGAACACGGAAGTATAACACTGAAAAATCATATAGACAGAAAATTCAATTTAATAAAACGTCAGAAAATATAGAATATTATAAAATAAAATGTCGAATATCGCTTCTGTAAATGACCTTACAGTACAAATTACACGCAATTTGAATGCAAAAATACAGAATCTCTGTTCTCAGAGTCGCAAGACACTGGCCTGCAGCAAGATCTAGAAGTAGATCTAGGCCTAGACAATAATATCAGTTTTAATTTTAACCTCTGAACTGGCTTGAAAATGCCTCATTTTCTTGATAAAATATATGAAATGTAAATGTCAGTCAAAGTTCCTACATTGGTTAACACAGTCTCTAAGAGTAAAATGAGACATTGACAGACCTAGAAGAAACCCAATTTAATGTATAAAGTGATGCTTTCGCGGCGAGTAAAGTTGATGAAAGACTCTCGGACAAACAAACCTCCTCGTCAGGTGGCTGAATGGTGAATGAACCATTTCTTCCGCCAAAGTTTCGAGAGCCATCTCTGCTCTCATCCTCAGGGCAGCTGCAAAACGATACGTTGGCGGTAGAAATGGTTCATTCACCATTCAACCATCTGACGAGGTTTGTTTCTCCGAGAGTCTTTCATCAACCCAATTTAACTTCTGAACCTTCGAAGTTTTCAGTCTTTATGAAAGAAAACAAGTAAGGATTCTGATATTCATTCATAGTGATGATTCATCCACTTATATTTCCTTAATATCCATTTTAATTCTCTCATCTAAGCCTAGGTGTCTCCAGTAGTCTCTTCCCTTCCAGATGTGTCATTCGTCAACACTTATAATAAATCAATATTTAATTTTTAATTAACTTCACAAACGGATCTTAAAGACATAACATGAGTGACGTGGCTCAGATTAAGGTCCTTTCGGGCTGGAGTGAACATGGAAATAAACCTTTGGATTACATGAAGTCCGGGGAATTTATTGACAAGCTAAACAGCTATTAGCTTCCCAAAATGACTCTGCCTCATAGAATTAGTTTGTAACTGATAGAACTTTGTTATTAGTAACAATAAAATATTATAATGTTGCTCGCAATAAGCTAGATGGTTATTCCTAATATGGTTCATGATAACAGTTTATTCTTTTTTCAGCGAGGAGGTCAAAATCGTGTCTATAAGAGTTAAGTGCTAGAGCTCAGTATTCAACTGCATGTGACCCGTGGGGACAGACACCCGTTAGTCACATTTCAATCATCAACAGGTGATAAAACGTAGCTAACGGTTGTGGGTGAGAATAACCCATGCCCACCTGTGATTACGTCAGCCATTTGTGAATTTATCAAAAAGCTTTTGTGTCTATTTATTTTTATTATTATTTATTTAGTGTTCTGTCTGACGACAGGTCCATATGAACAGGATCCTTCCATCCTTTTCTCGGACTGGGACCTGTTCATATACGTTCTTGGCAGATGATCCAGAAGTGGTTTGCCATTGCCTTCTTCTCTGTGTGTGAATGGAGTAATTGTTGGGATGCCACGGAGGAAAACTCCGTGTTGCCTAGACCACGGCCTTGCCCAACACAAGTTATAAATTCGGGCACCGCCGGGAATCGAACCCGAGACCCCAGGATTACAAGGCCAGCGTTCTAACCGCTAGACTACCGTGGCCATCGAAGTTTGGTACGGAAATAGAATTATTCCATATGCAAATACTATGCAAAGATTCTGTCGTGTACTAGAAAATACAAAGATGATGATTGTGGGTATGTGTGAGGTTGTCTAATAACACACAGAGGTTCATAATTACAGTACCCATTAATTTATACTTTCTGCTCTAAATTTCTTCACAGATATTTTACATAGTAGCAAAATATTGCTTTCTTTTTTGTTTACATTTGTACGTAACAGAGGAATAATTTATCCTTTAGTGAATGAATGTCTAGTAATAAATATTTTAAATTATACAAAATATCAGTTAAATTAGTGGTGAAAGGTAAAAATTAAGTGTCAGGAAAGATATGCTTCGTTGTATGTACGCAATGAGATTAAAAATCTGACGTCTTCAATGGAGCTGAAATGATTTCTAGATTCATGAAGTAATATGATGGCTTACGACGAATCGCCAAAATACAAAGAGAAATTATAAACCTATAGGACGACGTGTATGGAGACCCTGAGGCCGATTCAGTCATCAGGTTGCCGAACCCTTGCAGAACAAAACTAAGAAGAATGTCCTCTGATTACAGAAACTACGACGAATCAATCTGATTCCTTTACTTCAAAGTCTTAGCGCTAAAGCCAATCCAGTGTAGGCCTTTACTTTGCAGAATACAAGGTAAATTTTCCGAATACTTTTTAGTGTAAAAACGAATATAAAATCTAATCTTCATGCGATGAGTAATTTCGGAGATGAAATTTGTGAACAAATGGAGACAGGACTTTCTATTATGCCTTCGATTCATTCACTTTGTGCAGAGATACAAAATGTATAGTCGCGGAACAAGATGATGTCGAAGGCATGTAACTTAAGGGTGTTAATCATTCTTTAGCACTTTACAATGATATTGAAAAGACCTCAGTCAACATAATAAAATATTAATAACTAGGCTCAATAGTCTCTTCCTAAACTTTTTATGTGCATTTCTTCCAAATGTTTCATATCTCAGGTCCTACTTTTGTAATCTTCGCTTTCACAGATAAAATTTTGATCAATTAATCATTTTTTATGTCTGTATTCGGGTGATTTTCTAGTTTTGTAATACCTCACTGTGCTGCTTCAAGCTTTTCTTTGCAAATTTTAATTAAATGACCAGTTCCCAATACCATATTTAAAAAATTTCTTTTGCGGTAATGTGCATCCAGTCTTATATGAATTTCCGATAACATTTGCCAAACAGTCATCTGCTTTACATTCAAGGCTGTTAATTTATTTAATACATTTATTTATTTATCTATTTTCTGTGGCATGGGAAAGAATATCATATAAACCAGTGGTATTCAACCTGGGGTACGCGTACCCCGGGGGGTACGCGAAGACATCTTAGGGGGCACGTGAAATTTAAAAAATATATATTATTTTATGATAAACACTGAATAATGAGTAATGTAATTTATTTAATTTATTTTATATGTAGATTATATACTATGTATAACTTGAATTATACACCAACAACTTTGGGGGGTATAAAATTGAAGAGAAATTATATCTGGGGGTACGCGAACATAAAAAGGTTGAATACCGCTGATATAAACTATAATTAAATTCTGTTACTACACGAATTGAAATCTATTAAATGTTAACACGGGTTTTACAACAATAAATGGTATAAATCAAACCAACTATTGAAATTTTGTCGTGTAACATGAACTGCACAGAAATTGTCTTAGTACTGTCGCGCTCCTCTGCCTGACTAAGGTCATTCAACTCGAATCGAAGTAGCTTCAAAAAACTATTTTACAGGCGGCAGGTTGAACAAATTAAAAAAAAAAACCAACGTCGGTGAATGCAGATTTTGCAAGGCGTTTTCCGACGAGAAACAACCGTCTGGAAATAAGGGGGAGAGGGGGACAAAATTATATTATGGGTTGGTGCCCTTTTTGGTCTTATGATAGCCTCCATTCATATTCGTTCATCATGTAGCCTACTTCTGCATTGCCTCTATGATAACACTCCTAGCGTTTATCTTACTACCAAGTGAATTAAATTATACGTCACAGACTTAAAGAATCTATTGACTCTTTCAATACTTATCATATTGAGTGGAATTACTTGTTACCACGTCATAGCACGTCCTCAGTTTGTGCTCGAGGTGTCGTGAATACAATGTATAAGCGGCTGAGGACAGCCAACAAGGGACAGTCCTCCAGATTGAGCAGAAACCGGGGCCTAATGGAGCTCACCTCAAAACTATCATATTAAGACACATTATACAGGGCCTTTGCTTCTCGTGAATAACTTTGTTCCTTAAGTCAGTAGAAGAAATTATCTTCAACATTGTAGGATTTGAGGTTTACGCGGAGGTGAGTCTGAAGATGGCTGTCTTCTGGGTTGTTGAAACGTCGGTAAACTTCTACCAGACTACAGAGTGCAACAACCCAGAAGACAGCCATTCTTCATGTGAATAAATGTTTGTTCATGAAACTTCCAAAAACACATGGGGCCCCATTCTTGTTAGTCACACTTTTAAAAGTATCGATTTCCCCCCCCCCCCACAACCCTGAAATTTTGTGTGCGCTGTTGTATTTCACTAATAACTTTAAGAACAAAAATAATACATTTCTGCAGAATTTACTTCAGAAATACGAAGTGGAGTTGGACACTTTTTGCAATTGATATGCCAAGGAATTTCGCAACCGACTTCCTCTCCTCGCAAGCCAGACAATGGGAGGTTGAACCCAGTAAGAAGTTTTGTCAATGAACCGGGAAGCGTGTTATGCTTCTCATGTGACTCTTGTTTGCAAGGTGTCAGCTAGTACTGTGCTAATAGGCAACACACTACAAACCCATAGGTGGGTCCCTCACACGATGGCCGTCACCCATATGTAAAGAATATCTGTCAGTATGTAGGAGACAGCCTCGAACAACCTGGCACTTCGTTTCACTAGTCACGGCTCCTTTGTGACCGAACTCAGGTAGGCCTGTGAATACTCTTTGAGTGTCCGACATCTTCCCGAGGTCTACCAATGTTGCGTTTCACGAAAGAAATACATATCATAAGAAACAAAACAGAGAGAGAGGGGAAGAAGATAAAGACAGATAAAAACAAATTGAAAATTCTTTAAGCGAGCATTAAAGCTGTCGCACTACACGCCATATAGGCACTTGGGGGAGGAGAAGTATACCTCCTACTCATTTTTGACCTCGGCACTAGATGGGGGTGAGTGGTCAGAATCACGCCCCGAAGCGAACGTTTAACGTCCCATTTATTTATACTTAGTGTCAGTTCTAGAAATACTGAGTATGTAGAAATTATCTTTAAATTTGTACTCAGAAAATACGTAATTTTAATTTTAATTTGAATAGATTTTCTTAAATTTTAATTCCCTAGAAATTCAATACCACTAAAGGAAGACAAGTTGACTGTAGACTACACATTTGTCTGTGTGTGTGTAAGCATTTGCAGTATAAATTTTTAAGAATTGTTAGAAACAAAAAGAGGGAATGATGCTCTCTCTATGTAGAAAGGCACAACGTACTATAAGAACACTATTAAAATATCCGAAGACTTTTGATTAAAAAATGGTTCACCTGAAACGTTGGTAAACATCGACCAGACTACACGGCGGAACAACCCAGAAGACGGCAATCTTCATACTCATCGCCCTGGCGGTGGAGGCAGTATGACGTCTGAAACGTTGGTGGAAATCGACCAGACTACACGGCGGAACAACCCAGAAGACGGCAATCTTCATACTCATCGCCCTGGCGGTGGAGGCAGTATGACGTCTGAAACGTTGGTGGAAATCGACCAGACTACACGGCGGAACAACCCAGAAGACGGCAATCTTCATACTCATCGCCCTGGCGGTGGAGGCAGTATGACGTCTGAAACGTTGGTGGAAATCGACCAGACTACACGGCGGAACAACCCAGAAGACGGCAATCTTCATACTCATCGCCCTGGCGGTGGAGGCAGTATGACGTCTGAAACGTTGGTGGAAATCGACCAGACTACACGGCGGAACAACCCAGAAGACGGCAATCTTCATACTCATCGCCCTGGCGGTGGAGGCAGTATGACGTCTGAAACGTTGGTGGAAATCGACCAGACTACACGGCGGAACAACCCAGAAGACGGCAATCTTCATACTCATCGCCCTGGCGGTGGAGGCAGTATGACGTCTGAAACGTTGGTGGAAATCGACCAGACTACACGGCGGAACAACCCAGAAGACGGCAATCTTCATACTCATCGCCCTGGCGGTGGAGGCAGTATGACGTCTGAAACGTTGGTGGAAATCGACCAGACTACACGGCGGAACAACCCAGAAGACGGCAATCTTCATACTCATCGCCCTGGCGGTGGAGGCAGTATGACGTCTGAAACGTTGGTGGAAATCGACCAGACTACACGGCGGAACAACCCAGAAGACGGCAATCTTCATACTCATCGCCCTGGCGGTGGAGGCAGTATGACGTCTGAAACGTTGGTGGAAATCGACCAGACTACACGGCGGAACAACCCAGAAGACGGCAATCTTCATACTCATCGCCCTGGCGGTGGAGGCAGTATGACGTCTGAAACGTTGGTGGAAATCGACCAGACTACACGGCGGAACAACCCAGAAGACGGCAATCTTCATACTCATCGCCCTGGCGGTGGAGGCAGTATGACGTCTGAAACGTTGGTGGAAATCGACCAGACTACACGGCGGAACAACCCAGAAGACGGCAATCTTCATACTCATCGCCCTGGCGGTGGAGGCAGTATGACGTCT